AGCGCTCGCCCGGCGCCTCGCGAGCGCTTCGGCCTGGGTTTCGTATCCTGGCCGTGAGGACTTAAGAACATGGAACCAATAATCCAGTTATTGAATAATTTATTCAATAATCCCGGCTGATGTATACCGCTGCATAAGTAACCGGACTCTCTTCCCTGCATAAGTAACCGGACTCTCTTCCCTGCATAAGTAACCGGACTCTCTTTCCTGCATAAGTAACCGGACTCTCTTCCCTGCATAAGTAACCGGACTCTCTTCCCTGCATAAGTACCGGACTCTCCTCCTGCATAAGTAACCGGACTCTCTCCCTGTATAAGTAACCGGACTCTTCCCTCTGCATAAGTAACCGGACTCTCTCCCTGTATAAGTAACCGGACTCTTCCCTCTGCATAAGTAACCGGACTCTCCCCCTGTATAAGTAACCGGACTCTCCCCCCTGCATAAGTAACCGGACTCTCTTCCCTGTATAGTAACCGAACTCTCTTCCTCTGCATAAGTAACCGGACTCTCTTTCCTGCATAAGTAACCGGACTCTCTTCCCTGTATAAGTAACCGAACTCTCTTCCCCTGCATAAGTAACCGGACTCTCTTTCCTGCATAAGTAACCGGACTCTCTTTCCTGCATAAGTAACCGGACTCTCTTCCCTGTATAAGTAACCGAACTCTCTTCCCCTGCATAAGTAACCGGACTCTCTTTCCTGCATAAGTAACCGGACTCTCCCCTTGCATGAGTAACCGGACTCTCCCCCTGTATAAGTAACCGGACTCTCTCCCCCTGCATAAGTAACCGGACTCTCCCCCCTGCATAAGTAACCGGACTCTCTCCCTGCATAAGTAACCGGACTCTCCCCCTGCATAAGTAACCGGACTCTTTTCCCTGTATAAGTATCCGGACTCTCCCCATGCATAAGTAACCCGAACTCTCCCCTACTTTAGTAACCGGACTCTACTTCAACTCGTCCGACTCGGGTCAGTTAAGTGGCCCAAAGCGACCCTTGAAACCCCCGTCTTAATAACCTGTCATTAGCATCTAAAATTATCTGAGAAGAGGCTGTGAGTGGACAGTTAGTCTTCTCAAGCACTCGCAACGGCCCGTCTATATGCGAGGCTGACGTCACACAATGCGGAAGCCAAGCAACACGTCATCAAGTCGCTCAACCAATCATAGCTGAGGGTGATGATGTCATTGGGAAGCAAGGTCCAATCATGTTTCCTTAATGTATTCACCGTCCAATCCCAAGTTAGACCCCGTGATGCCATAAAATAATGTGGCAGCCTCTCATTTGCTAAATCTATAAATTCCTCACAATTTTTCATAACGCTGAATTAAAAATCAAGAACTACGAATCTAATCATTCTCAAAGAATAAAAATATATTAATATGTTCGATATTCCTAGTAGATATAAACTAAAACAAGCGAATTTTAGTATTATATGAACTTGTATATATTTAAATATCTATATCTAAAAATGCGGCGACACCTGGCATCTCGTCAAGCAGTACCTTATAAATAAGGAAACTCGCTGCTCTGCCAGTCAGTGTGTTCGTCCCTGGCGTCTGGACCGTACTCAGTGTTGGCCAGCTCGACGCAGTCTACTGAAAGGTGAGTTTGGTTACGGTTCTCGGTGTTATCCAGCTGGACTTAATGTCGGTAAACTTGGGGTAAATATCTGGCGTCTTCCATAGTTTCTTTCCCGGTTTACAATCTTTTCCTAGGAAGAAAAAAAAGTTTATATCGGTATATGCCTTAAGGTTGGGGCTCTTATTGCCTAAGCGACACTAGGGGGGCGCTCTTGTTGTCTGAGCGATGCTCTAGTTGCCTGAGCGACGCTCTAGTTGCCTGAGCGACGCTCTAGTTGCCTGAGCGACGCTCTAGTTGCCTGAGCGACGCTCTAGTTGCCTGAGCGACGCTCTAGTTGCCTGAGCGACGCTCTAGTTGCTTGAGCGACGCTCTAGTTGCCTGAGCGACGCCAAGGGGCTCTCTTGTTGCCTGAGCGACGCCAGGGGGGCGCTCTTGTTGCCTGAGTGACGCCAGGGGGCGCTCTTGTTGCCTGAACGACGCCAGGGGGGCGCTCTTGTTGCCTGAGCGACGCCAAGAGGGGGCTCCTCTCCCCCACGAGAGGAGCACTAAGCCTGGGTAACGAGGAGTCTCAACACAGCTAAATATATCAAACGGAAGTCGTCGGAGTGACAATCGGGCCTCGTATCAGACGTGCGACTTTGTGGTGAAGTCTCGCCACAGATTGACAACCTCGCAACTGATGGAGAGGCGGGACCAAGGAGCCAGAGCTCAACCCCCAGCAAACACAACTAGGTGAGTACACCCACCTGTTTATGCGGGCCGCAAGATTCCATCAATCTATTTCAGTTTTGCTTGTGAAGAGTGACGCTGATCCGATTGGAGGAATATTTCTTCCAGATAAATATAAACAAGCCTATTGTATAATGTATGATTTCAACGCGAGTATTTACAATACCACGACTGTTAGATTTTGTTTTCTGTTGCTTGACGGAATCGAGCAAGTGATTCCGTCAAGCAATGATTGTGATTGATGTGTGAGAAGCTGTCAATGACAATATGTACAACCTGGAGGACATCATGTAGAAGAAGAATGTTATCTGCTATATAGATGGATGGGGAGGAGGAGGGGGGGGGGGGGGGAAGAGACTAAATGTTTCTTAATAAGTCAACACTTCCTGCCAAATCCCCCCCCCCCCTCTCGGAGGAGCCCCCCCCCATCCGTCAGCTGCTGGCTATCACCTGAGGTTGACATTCTTCCAAGTTGCTGGCCAAGATTATAATGTTTGCCTTCCTTCTCTCTCACACCCCCCCACCCTCACTCTCCCTCTCTCTCTCTCACCCCTTCACTCTCCCTCTCTCTCACACACCCCCTCACTCTCCCTCCCTCACGCTACTCCCCCTTTCCCTCACACACACCCTCTTCCTTCTCCCTCATTTACAACCTCTTCCCTCCTCCCTCACTCACAACTTCACGCTCCCTCATTGACAACTTTTTTTTCTCTTCCCAGCACTCACACTCCCTCTCCCTAACGCCTCCCAACACCCAGCCTCTCACACTCTTCCTCTCTCCCCCTTGCTCTTACACGCTGCGAGGCACCTGTCCTCTTAAAAAGAACGTCGCTTTTGGCCGTTTGCCCGTATGGCCGAATATGGATGTAATTTGAAAATGAAAAAAAAATAAAATAAATTTGGGATTTTTTTTTTTCAACAACAGTAACTTAAGGGTCCTCTGATAGGTTAGGTGGGCAGGAAATTCTCATAAAGTCTCAAAACATCATGAAAAACGTTAATGGAGAGTGTTCTCTTCTAACCTTACCGAGTAAGCCGGACGACTCAAACAGTAAACGGAACACTACGTCACTTTTGTGAGTCGATTTCATTTTAAATTACGTCCAAACTTGGCCATAGCCGCGCATACAAGCGAAAAGTGACGTTATTTTTAAGAAGGACGGGTTGCTCCTACACCCTGCTGCTGCCTGCGTCTCCCCGTCAGTGACACACTTCCGCCTCTCACTAAGTTACTCACACACTCCTCACACTATCAACAACAGCGACACATTTTAGCAACTAACATTACTATTACTACTAGTAAGACTATTACTAGATCTGCTAGTGACTGGTAGAGATAAATATCATATTGATAATATATAATAATTATGATATGTCGTGAGCAGTATATCCTGGTGACCTGGAAACTCAGGTGGGAAGGGGGGGGGGCGTTCCCGTTATGTACATGTGTGTGTGTTGCTTCTCTCTCTCTCTCTCTCTCTCTCTCTCTCTCTCTCTCTCTCTCTCTCTCTCTCTCTCTCTCTCTCTCTCTCTCTCTCTCTCTCTCTCTCTCTCTCTCTCTCTCTCTCTCTCTCTCTCTCACTCAGCGTGGGCCTACACACACGTCCACTGCTTCTCAGCTTCTCTTTGTCTCTCAAACCATCTTTGCCTCTCAGCCCCTCCCTCCCTCTCAGCCCCTCCCTCCCTCTCAGCCCCTCGGTATCTTGATCCATCTCTGCATCTCAGTTCGGCTCTGCTTCTCATCCCTTTCTCCTTGCTCCCACACTCCTACTACCTCTCACTCCTCACCATTAGTACTGTGTCCATCTCTCTCAAAAACTACACCAATAGAAACAAATAGACATAAATGCTCTGAGAATTCTGGAAAGAGTATTTCAAGGAAGAGTTTTAAGGTATGGTACACAAATGCTGATGGAATTACAAACAAAGCAGAGGAAATAAAAAAATGGGTTAGCATCACTAGATGAAACAAAAGCCATTGGACCACACAACATATCACCGTGGATGTTAAAAGCAGCAGCACAGGCCCTCAGCATACCTCTAATTACGCTGAGGGGTCTGTAAGTTACTCATCTTTAAAGTGTAACTTACAAAGGGTGAATGGCCTAGTTGCTGCAAGAAAGCAAATGTGGTACCAATTTACACGAACGGAGGTACTGAGGCACTGAACTACAGACATGTGGCACTCACAACCATCCACGGCAGTGTTCGGAAGAATACTAAGAATAAACTTACACACTTAGAGAGAATTAGGTTGGTGTAAACACCACCTTGGGGGGTTAGGAACTCATGCCTGACGAACCTACTGGACTGCTATGATAAGCTACGAAAATAAATCAGGACAAATAAGACTGGGCAGATTATGCATTTCTGGACTGACTGCCAGAAAGCTTTAGATATAGTACCTCATAAGAGATTATTACACAAACTCGAGAGACAGGCGGGAGTAAACGCCGATCTATTGACAGGTGCTTACTCTACTGTCTAATAGACAGCACTCGAAGCCACAAGGGAGAGGGTGGGGGGCAGAGATATCGGACTGGTGTAGGGGTAACAAGCGGAGCACCTCAAGGATCACTATCTCTCATGTATGTATATGACCTGTCTATCTTGAGGTTATCTTGAGATGATTTCGGGGCTTTAGTTTTCCCGCGGCCCGGTCCTTGACCAGGCCTCCACCCCCAGGAAGTAGCTTACTAACACCCAGGTACCTATTTTACTCCTAGGTAACAGGGCATAGGATGAAAGAAACTCTGCCCATTGTTTCTCGCCGGCGCCGGGGATCGAACCCGGGACCACAGGATCACAAGTCCAGTGTGCTGTCCGCTCGACCGACCGGCTCCCCCTGAACTGTCTACAACAATTGTTGTTGTTGTTGCTATTTTAGATTCCGCTATTCAGAACAAAAGTGCCAAGTAGCACGGGCTATGGTGAGCCCGCCGTAGACTTCTGCAACAGTTGAGTCTTATATGTTGATGTTTGACAATGGAAAACTAACGAGAAGAGTTGTAATAGATGAGGACCATAAGATGAGGACTGTAACCAGCTCAGACTAACTCCAAACTGCAAAGTCTGAGAAATGGCCACTTGAGTTCAACACTAGCCCGTGTAAGGTAATGGGAAAGTATAAAATACTTAGGGTCATTGACGGAGTGGAAAAAGAAATGTTTACTGTGAATACCAATTGAGGAGATGGATGGAAGCTCGAGACTCAGATGAGTCGGAGAGATGTTAGAAAGTTTTCTCATAAGACTAGCGGGGAGACGGAGGGAAGGGAAGGGAATTATCAAGGGGAAAGCGCCAAGCTATTACGCCATTACGGAGATGGAATGAACAGGTACAGGTTGTCGAAGGCGACTACATTCAGAATTGTAAAAGATATAATACGAAAAAAGTAGGGAGTCATTGTACTAGACCACCGGCGGATAGAGAAGCAGGATCCAAGAGCTAATGCTCCCAGGATCCTGCAGGCACAAATAGGTAAGCACACATACACACACACACAGGCAGGTGGGGCCATGACTAAATGGACAGCGCTTGGGACTCGTAATCCTAGGGTCCGGGTTCGATACCGGCCCCTGGCGGAAACAGATGGGCAGTTTCTTTCACCCTGATGCCCCTGTTACCTAGCAGTAAATAGGTAGCTGGGAGTTAGACAGCTGTTACGGGCTGCTTCCTAGGTGTGTGTGTGTGTGTGTGTGTGTGTGTGTGTGTGTGTGTGTGTGTGTGTGTGTGTGTGTGTGTGTGGAAACAAAAAAAAATTGTTAGTAGTTAGTAACAATTGATTGACAGTTGAGAGGCGGGCCGCCTCAACAAATAAGGACAAATAAGACTGGGCAGTCACCCAGTCTCCAAAAAGTCACCCAGTCACCCAAAACCCACCCAGCTCTCATCCCCTCAACCCCCCAAATCCCATCCAGACCTCATCCCCTCAACCCCAAGAACCCACCCAGACCTCATCCCCTCAACACCCAAAGCCTGCCCTGCCCTCACCCCTCCTCATCCCCTCTCCTTCCAACCCCCCACCCTTGCGAGGGAGGTGGGAGGTCCCCCCCCCCCCCCTCTATCCATCCCCCTCCCAACCTCTCAACCTCTATCTGTCTCCCAACCTTACGCCATCTCCCAACCCCTCTATGCCCTCCCTAATCTTCAGACCCAGTATGCCCTTCCTACTCCAGACCTACCTACCCAGGCCCTACCCCAGACCCTCCTACCTACCTTCCTAGAAGCCCAGCCCCCAGTAGCCCCCCAAGCACCCCTCCTGAACTCTTTCACCCCCCATACACCCCCCGGACCCCCCCAGACACCCCCTGGATCCCCCCGGACATCCCCCGGACCCTCCCCGCCCCCAGTCATCCCCCAGACACCCCCCAGATCCCCCAGATCCCCTCTGCCCCCAGTCACCCCCCAGACATCCCCCAGATCCCCCAGACCCCCAGAGAAAGGGAGAACTCTGGTACAAGAGTTTCCATGAAGAATCTCAAGGTTTGGTACACCAATGCTGATGGGGTATCTAATAAAGCAGAAGAGATAAAAGAAAGAGTGAGTGAAGCAGATCCTGACATAGTTGCAATTGTGGAAACTAAAATTAATGACATGATCTCAGATGCAATCTTTCCTGAAGGGTACCAGGTGATACGAAAAGAGAGGACACAGAGACAGGGAGGGGGAGTAGCACTCCTAATAAAGCGGAAATGGAAGTTTGAAGACCTGGGAAATCGAGTTACCAATGAGTGCACAAGCTTCATACATGGAACTCTGACAGTAGATGGGAGGAAGATTGTGATCATGGTAATCTACAATCCCCCACCAAACAGTAGAAGACCCAGGCAGGAGTATGATGACAACAACAAAGCATGTATAGATGAACTGCAGAAGGCAGCAACACTAGCCCACAGAATGAGAGCGAAGCTGCTGATCATGGGGGACCTAAATCATGGAGAGATAAATTGGGAATCAAGGAATCCCCATGGAGGGGATGAAACGTGGGGAGCAAAATTAGTAGATGTTATAGACAGGAATTTCCTGACACAACATGTGAAGGAAGACACAAGGGAAAGAGGAGGAGATGCACCGAGCCTATTAGACCTGATTTTCACCCAGAACGTAGAAGATATCGAGAATTTAGAGCATGAAATACCTCTAGGGGCCAGTGACCATTGTGTCCTAGTCTTTGACTACATGATGGAATTCAAAATTATGACCATGGGACAAGAGATCTGGGAAAGGAGAGCTGACTACAGGAAAGGGGACTATATGAGGATAAGGGACTATCTGGGTGAAGTGCAGTGGGAGGAAGAAATTAGAGGAAAAACAGTCCAAGATATGATGGACCTAGTCATACAGAAATGCCAGGAGGCCGAAGAGAGATTTATACCAACGGTAAAGGGAAAAAATAAGAAGGAATATAATAACCCATGGTTTAATAGACAGTGTCAGGAAGCAAAAATGGCCAGCAGGCGGGAGTGGAGGAAGTACAGAAGACAAAGAACAGAGGACAACAGAAGCAGATACAACAGAGCTAGGAACGATTACATTAACATAAGACGAACATCGGAAAGGGACTATGAGAACGATATTGCAATCAAAGCGAAAAAACAACCTAAGTTACTACACAGTCATATAAGAAGAAAAATGTCGGTGAACGACCAAGTGACAAGACTAAGGAAGACAGAGGGGGCATATACTGAAAGTGACAAGGAAATCTGCGAGGCACTGAATGCCAGTTTCCATGGAGTGTTCACTACCGAGCCTGAGCAGCTCCCATTGTTGGAAGGGGTTACCCTAGATGAAAGACTATCAGATATAGAGGTGACAGCAGAGGAGGTAATGAAACAGTTGACAACTCTAGATGCAACTAAAGCAGTTGGACCAGACAAAGTATCACCGTGGATACTAAAAGAAGCAGCACAGGCCCTCAGCGTGCCTCTGGCAATGATCTTTAATGAGTCACTTATGTCAGGAGAATTGCCCAGTTGCTGGAAGAAGGCAAATGTCGTGCCGATCTTCAAGAAAGGAGATAGGGAGGAGGCACTTAACTACAGACCTGTATCACTGACAAGCATCCCCTGTAAAATACTGGAAAGAATAATTAGGCTACGACTGGTTGCACACCTGGAGAACATTAGGTTTGTGAACAAACATCAACATGGGTTCTGGACAGGGAAATCGTGCCTAACAAACCTTCTGGAATTCTATGATAAAATAACGAGGATAAGACAGGACAGAGATGGTTGGGCAGACTGCATATTTCTGGACTGCCAAAAAGCCTTTGATACAGTACCGCACATGAGACTGCTGTTCAAGCTCGAGAGGCAGGCGGGGGTGGGGGGAAAGGTCCTAGAATGGATAAGGAACTACCTAACAGGAAGGAGCCAAAGAGTTACGGTAAGGGGCGAGAAGTCGGACTGGCGAACAGTAACAAGTGGAGTACCACAAGGATCGGTGCTGGGACCAATTCTATTTCTTGTATATGTTAACGACATGTTTACAGGCGTAGAGTCCTACATGTCGATGTTTGCGGATGATGCAAAGTTGATGAGAAGAGTTGTGACAGATGAGGATTGCAGGATCCTCCAAGAGGACCTGAACAGATTGCAGAGATGGTCAGAGAAATGGCTACTAGAATTCAACACGAGCAAATGTAAAGTTATGGAAATGGGACTAGGAGATAGGAGACCAAAGGGACAGTACACAATGAAGGGGAACAGCCTACCTGTAACGACGCGTGAAAGAGACCTGGGGTGGACGTAACACCTAATCTATCTCCTGAGGCACATATTAATAGGATAACGACAGCAGCGTACTCTACACTGGCAAAAGTTAGAACATCATTCAGAAACCTAAGTAAGGAGGCATTTAGGGCGCTTTACACTGCCTACGTAAGGCCAGTCTTAGAGTATGCCGCCTCATCATGGAGTCCCCATCTGAAGAAGCATATAATGAAACTGGAAAAGGTTCAGAGGTTTGCAACGAGACTCGTCCCAGAGCTACGAGGGATGGGGTATGAAGAGCGCCTGAGGGAACTGTGCCTTACGACACTAGAAAGAAGAAGGGAGAGGGGGGACATGATAGGAACGTATAAGATACTCAGAGGAATTGACAGAGTGGACATAGACGAAATGTTCACACGGAATAGTAACAGAACGAGAGGACATGGATGGAAGCTTGAAACTCAGATGAGTCACAGAGATGTAAGGAAGTTTTCTTTTAGCGTGAGAGTAGTGGGGAAATGGAATGCACTTCAGGAACAGGTTGTGGAAGCAAATACTATTCATAATTTTAAAACCAGGTATGATAGGGAAATGGGACAGGAGTCATTGCTGTAAACAACCGATGCTCGAAAGGCGGGATCCAAGAGTCAATGCTCGATCCTGCAAGCACATATAGGTGAGTACATATAGGTGAGTACACACACACACACACACACACACACACACACACACACACACACACACACACACACACACACACACACACACACACCCGCAAGCATAACGATGTGAGTACACAACCACGAGTCATGCTAATGAGGATCGTGCACAAGTACCAGCTACTGTTATTGCTCATCTGACTTTACAACCAAGTCAACGTTTTGTGCATGTGCATTGATGCATGCGCATGATCTGAAGCCCTGCACGTCTGAGAGAACACTATGCACCATTGCACATTAGGTTGCATCATCTGTACACATAGTTCTGCTTCTCACCAGTATGGAACATTTTAAAAGCTGAAAGAGTTACCAACAAATCATCCAGATGAAATGAGTCTTGTTTCTATCTAACTCTGAACATTAATAAACTAATTTACAAACAAAATTGTCGAGATGAGAAACAAACAGAATAAGGCATTTTCTCATGTGTCTCATAATATACAATTTACAACAAATATATATTATATAAATATATGCCAATGAAATAAAGGAAATCTAGCTTCTAGGAAATCAAAATCTGGTTCTGTTAGGTATATCAAGTTCAAAGTAAATGAGGTAAACTAGTGAAAACTTCTCGCCAATTGTTTATGTCCTGGATGACCTGTCTTAAGTTCCCTGGTCTGGACCGGATCCGGGAAGATCTTTCGTAAGACTTTAAACACACATGTTTAGGCTTCGCTTGAGCGAGCTTCTTACAGCAGGCCGGGAGAGAGTTGATGTACCAGTATGATGCTTTGGTCTCTGGTCGATATTAGCCTAAATAGGTTTCAGAGTAGTCAAAACACTTGGTGTGTGTGTGTGTGTGTGTGTGTGTGTGTGTGTGTGTGTGTGTGTGTGTGTGTGTGTTTCCGAACGTTCAATTCACTTATTGTGAGTTTCCAAACATTTAAAAATAAATGAATTCAACTACAATCTCAAAGAACTTCCAGCTAGAGAGCAATACTATTTTTTGTATACACAGGAAGTTAAGATGTAAAGCTTCCTCGTATTACAAGACCTCTGTGGAGGAGGTCGCAAGAGGGCGTGGCGTTCTGCACCTCTTGCTTGACGTGGCGTGGAGGAAGCCAACTTCAGCAGCAGCAGCAGCAGCTGGGGTTGCCTCTAAGGTCAGAGAGAGAGATCGGAAACAATCATCTGGGCGAGGCAGGATGTACTCAGGAAATTGCAGTACTCACGCATGGCGGAAGCTGCCAGCAGTTGCCTGGGTGTGTCTTTAGCTCAGACGTGCCCATGCATTAATACAACACTAACCAACATTAATACAACGCTAACCAACATTAATACAACACTAACCAACATTAATACAACGCTAACCAACATTAATACAAAACTAACCAACATTAATACAGTGTTCTGTCCTACGTGAACGGTGTTTGAGATCTATTCTCCTACATGTAATGTAGTGGTAGAATAGTGGTGGTGGTGACGGTGGTACCATAGTGTGGTGGTGATGGTGGCACCATAGTGTGGTGGTGATGGTGGCACCATAGTGACGATGGTAGTGATGGTGAGAGGGAAGAGAGGGATGGGGACGTCAGGTTACGAAAACAATAGCCAGCTTTGTGAGAGGTGATGTTGCTACGTCGCTGCTTGTAGTAACTGTTCCTAGTGTGACCACCACCGCTAGTTGAAGCAGTCGTTGCATTAAATGTTGCGACACCAGCAGCAATAACAACAGTAGCATCAATGAAATCAACAGCAAACCGGAATCCCAACAGAATACAGGTGTCCCTACGATCTATACACAGGTTATCTGTTGGGAAACTACTCCGAGCACAATCTCTGGGAACCCCACTAACGCGGCCGCCTAGGTCAGTATAGAGACATGTAAGGCTCTCCTGCCTCCTCCTGCGCCTTCAGGCACACTGCGGCCGCCGGAGACAGGCTGACACACACTTTCTTGTTCATAAAACTGCGCACACATAATTTAATAACGAATTGGAACACCAGCAACAGTAGAATTAATTAACAATAGGTCCAAAAATACTAGTAGAAACAGAATATTGAACAGTAGCAAGAGTACTAAGTACAAGTAATAAGAGTAGTGGTAGTAGTAAGTAGTGGTGGTAGTAAGTAGTGGTGGTAGTGAGTAGTGTTAGTAGGATGAAGGCTAGCTAGGGTAAATTATAAGTTATCACACGTCTTCGTCCTTCGTAAAGCCCGCTACTGGTACAGGTAGCGACACAAACCAGATTTATCCATCTGTTGGGCCGTATCCGGCGAGGGAACAGGTGCATGAGGCCACACTATGTGGCCACCACACTGCCACATCATAGCCTGGATATTGGTGGAACCAATACCACCACGGCAGCAACTACAGTAAACTAATACGATTAAACTAATACAATTTTTGAACTCACCGCACAGACAGGTAAACTCAGCTACCACACCTATAGTGACCTTGGGAGAGCTACCAGGGTGTTGAGCAGCGGTGGTGTGGTTGGAGTGGTTGAGGGTACTCGCCTGGGGTGTGGCAAGGTACCTGTACCGGGCGGGAGTACCGGAGATTATCGTGTGGGTAGCCAGCTGCCCCAAGGAATTACGTGTGTGTAAGTTTAAAGTACCGGACATTACCTGCAAGGCATTGTGCAATGATTATTATTCCTCTCTCTCTCCCTCTCCCTCTCTCCCTCTCCTTCTCCCTCTCTCTCACCCTCTCCCTCCCTCTCACCAGCACTTCCTTAGAGACAAAGCCAGCTACGCAACTGACCGCAACTTTACAAGGCCACAGGATAAAAAGTCGACACGTTAGCTTGGCTTGGACCGCCAGCGGACGGATGCGCGGCGGCGGAATCCGAGGAAGGATGAAAAAAACTAAACACGAAGGACAGAGAAGGAGCGAAACATACATATAATACACAGAGAGGAGTAGGAGAGAATACACAAAGAGAGGAGCAGGAGAGGGAGAGTTTTACTATACAAACTGATTGTTAAACAGGTCGATGCTTGCCACGCACTCGAGGTAGAGTTTGAGGAGCACCTGTAGGCCCTCACACCTCGCCTCTAGCCAAGTTTTTATCATATACATATCATCAATCTTCTCGGTAATCATATGACTGCAAATCTTACATGTCGAGTGGTTGGTCTTATGTACACGCAAGGTACTTATGTGTAATCAATTAGGCCTACACGACCAGCCCGTGTACTCACCTGGTTGTGATTGCGCGGGGGGGGGGGGGGGGGGGGGGGTGAGCTCTGGCTCTTTGGACCCGCCTCTCAATTGTCTATCAACTGGTGTACAGATTCTGGAGTCTATTAGGATCTGTCATATCTTCATTTAAATTTTGTGACTGTGTATGGAGTCTGCCTCCACCACATCACTGCCTGTGTATTCAGCCACATGTGTGAACTCAGCAGCAGGTGTGTGTATTCAGCAACATTGTGTGTGTGTACTCAGCACCAGGTGTGTGTATTTAGCAACATGTGTGTGGACTCTGCAACATGTGTGTGTATTCAGCAGAATGTTTGTGTATTCAGCAGCATGTGTATGTACTCAGCAGCAGGTGTGTGTACAGCAGCATGTGTGTATGTGTGTGTCTGTACTCAGCAGCAGCATGTGTGTGTGTGTGTGTGTACTCAGCAGCATGTGTGTGGGGGTGTACTCAGCAGCATGTGTGTGTGTGTGTGTACTCAGCAGCATGTGTGTGTGTGTGTGTGTGTGTGTGTGTGTGTGTGTGTGTGTGTGTGTGTGTGTGTGTGTGTGTGTGTGTGTGTGTGTGTGTGTGTGTGTGTGTGTGTGTGTGTGCGTGTGAGTGTGTGTACTCAGCAACAGGTATGTGCACTCAGCTCCCACCGGCTGCGTTTGGAGCTCTTGATGGTCTAACAGACCCACTTACGACCTACGCGCTGCCCCCCCCTCCCTCGTGTCTTGGAGGGGAGAGGAGGCCATCTTGTGTGAGGGGAGGAATGGTGGGGGCTGCTGCGTAGTGAGGGGGGAAATGAGGGGGAAGTGATGGGGGCGAGGGGTGTAGTGATGGGGGGGATGAGGTAAATGAAATGGCGCCCAGAGAAGTGGGGAGGGTGAGCGGGTTTTTGCTGGCGTGGGCAAGTGGAGAGGCGGGAAATGGGGTTAGGAGGTAGAGGGGAGGGGAGATGGGGGGATGGGGAAATATAAGTAGGGGGGGGAGGGGATAGGACACACGGATATAAAAACGGCTTCATGACTTGCTTACGTCTTTAATGACTGTGTGTGGTGCCAGGAAGGAAAAGATGGGGGGGGGGGGGGAATGGGGCTAGTTGGGGGGTGTCGCGGAGGGGGGATGCAGTGGTGGGGGGGGGGGGATGAATGTTGGGGGGAGGGGATTGGAGGCTTCAGGTGAAAGGAAACGTGCCAAACCATTTCTGTCATGCCCAGGAACCGAACCCGGGATCATAAATTGAGAGTCGAAAACTTAGCCACTGTACTACAAAGAAGTGTTTATGTACTCACCTAGTTGTGCTTGCGGGGGTTGAGCTCTGGCTCTTTGGTCCCGCCTCTCAACTATCAATCAACTGGTGTACAGGTTCCTGAGCCTACTGGGCTCTATCATACCTATATTTGAAACTGTGTATGGAGTCAGCCTCCTCCACATCACTGCCTAATGCATTCCATTTATTAACTACTCTGACACTGAAAAAATTCTTTCTAACGTCTCTGTGGCTCATCTGGGTACTATGTTTCCACATGTGTCCCCTTGTTCGTGTCCCACCCGTGCTGAAGAGTTTGTCTTTGTCCATCCTGTCAATTCCCCTGAGAATTTTGATGTACTGAGCACCAGCTGTCGATACTGAATTAAATCATAATACTGAATCCTCGTACAGAGGATGTTCTTCTGCTTAATCCTATGTCCCCGAACTTTAGGAAACTTTGTTCCAAGTTCCGTCGTATCGGACCATCTGCTGATCACTCGTATTGGCCCATACCGTGTCCCCCCCTCACATCGGTTCATCCAATGTCAAATCGTGTTGTTTTGTCTGATCTATTAATACCCCGGAGTATATTGCACATTGTGATAATATTCCCCTTTTGTCCCACTAAATAGGAACTTGTTGAAATTGAAATTGCTTCTCTGTTAAAGATACATGGAAGAACAGATTAGTTAGCGCTAAATATGAAACACGTTTTCATTTATTTATTTTAATATCATTTTCTTTGAATACAATAATAACCACAAACTTCGTCATTTCACAAGACTGCACTTCTCATGATACGGTTGAGTATTTGAAAATACGATGATTTAAATTTGAATAAATTAAATTTATGCAAATACATTTCATGAACAAGTTATTTTATAAGTATTATGTTCATAATTGTAGTATAGATTTTATAGTACTTTTCTCTTACTTAAGTACTTACATAATTGTACAAACAGGAGTTTGAGTTGTGGCTGTTTAACTCCACCTATTTACTCTCCATACTCTGATGTGCCGTTACGGGCTATTCATGCCCGTGCCACCTTTTGGGTGGCTTAATCTTCATCAATCAATCTGATGTGCCGGTTCCCGACCATATTGAGCTTAGTCATTAAAGACCTGTCCGAAACGTACAGTAGTTAAGGATCTGTTCTAGTGGCTGTACAAGAATGTAACAACTCTTGTATATATCTAAAAAAAAAAGTACAATCACAAACCCAATGTACCTTCTTGTGTATAAATAAATAAATAAATAAATAAATAAATAAATAAATAAATAAATAAATAAATACCAAAATCTTCAACTTATCAGATGATCTTCACCATAAATTCGTCCCTCGCATTACACATTTTCCTCTGATACTCTTTTATTGCCCATGTAATTCCCGTTTTCTGTAATGTACATATCATATCCCGATGACTGTTATTGCTGTTAGTTCAGTCATGCAGAGACCAGGACACAATGGTTGGCGGCTCTTGGTAAGATATGGTGCTCTCAGTCTCAACCTTTTCTCATTCCGGATGAAGAACAGGTTTGGAATAACTACATTAAACTCCATCGTTTTTTATATGTGTGTTTGGCAGTCCTTTTCCATGCTATCTAGTAATTTTACACTCGGCAATCCTTCTGCATGTCCATCCACTTGGGCTGGTCGGTACAGCGACGGCCTTGGACTTTGCAGGTTCGCAGATCGATCCCCGATAGTCACGCCATGTCTTCATATTCTAACTCCTTGCCCTCGTATCCCTTTCCAGTGCTTTATAACCATGCTGGATTGGTATATTCGACTGATACTTCCCCTTCCTTCAGCCTGGTAACCATTCTCGGTTCTCTCAGCATGGTTGTGCGGGTCCCCATGTCTGTCATTTGTCTCTGATTCTCTCTACTGTTGTGCGTGTGTCCGTGTTCCTGTTTGGGCACCCTGTGGTTTGTTGGGGGGGGGGGGGGGGGGGGGGGGGGGGGGGGTTGAATATTGCCAGGACAACTACCATTATTGTCATCTACTGTCAGAGTTTCAATGATGTTTTGGTAACCATTTGTATTGCCATCCAATTCTTCAAGATTCCACCTTCGTTTAACAAGGAGAGACACTTTCCTTCCATGGGTTTTATCTTCTCTCCTTATTACCTTCTATCTTCTTGAATATTCTGCACCAGAGATCATATCAGTGATTTTGGTTTCCATTATGACAATCACACTAAATTCTTTTTCGCTAATCCTCTCTCTTATTTCATCTGCTTTGTTTTTGGCTCCATCGTCATTGGTATATCAAATCTTCAGGGTCATCTTGGACCCTATTTTCTGAATCCTCAGAAGACTATTGTCCATTTCTTACTACTCCTATTTGTACTCACCTATTTTGTGCTTGCAGGATTGAGTGTTAGCTCTTGGATCCTGCTTTTCCATCTGCCGGTTGTCTAATGTCCTGACCTATTTCTGTATCATATATACTTTTATGAATATGAAGGTAGTTTGCTTCCACAATCTGCTCCTTCAGTTCATCTCATTCTCCCACTACTCTTATGCTAAATGAAAAGTTTCTAACATTTGTAATAAACATGGATGGAAGCTGAGACTCATCTGAGTCAAGATTCCATCTATGTCCTCCTGTACTGTTGATGTTCATTGTGAACATTACCTCTTTTTCTACTCTGTCAATACCCCATAAGTATTTTATACGTCTCTATCATGTCCCACCCTTCTATCTCTTCTTTTCTAGCGTCATTAGGTTTAGTTCCTATAGTCTCTCATACGTCGTAATTCTTGGGCATTTGGAGTACGGAGTTCGCCGGCCCATAATGGGGTTCCAAGATGGGCCTGCATACTCCTAAACTAGTCTCACGGAGGTGGTGAATAACAACCTAAATGATTTCTCATTTAGGTTCCTGAATGGTGTGTTTATGTATTTACTATTTGTACCTGCAGGATCGAGCTGTTATCTCTTGGACCCCGCCTTTCTAACCATCGGTTGTGTGCGAGAGAGCGCGAATGTACTCACTCACTTGCGCTTGCGGGGGTTGAGCTTCGGTTCTCTGGTCCCGCCTCTCAACACACCCACAGGGGCCGTGGCTGAATGGACAGCGCTTAGGACTCGTAATCCCAGGGTCCGAGTTCATTCCGCTGGCGGAAACAGATGGGCAGAGTTTCTTTCCCCCTCCTGCCCCCCCTCCACACAGGAAGCAGCCCATAACAGCTGTCTAACTCCCAGGTACCTATATTTACTACTAGGTAACAGGGACATCATGGTGAAAGAAACTCTGCCCATTGTTCCTTACCGGCGCCGGGAACTGAACCCGGGCCACAGGATTACGAGTCCCGGACGCTGTCCACTCAGCTACCAGGGCCCCGAATGTTACTGAATGTTAACGCCCCAAAACCTAATGTTACTAATACCATTCACGGTGACCAATATATTGAATTAACCCTTCCATTAAAAATACATTAAACAATTTTTTAATTACAGGTCCCCTGAGCTCTGTGTGTAGGAGTACGTGTGTGCGCGTGCGTGCGTGCGTGCGTGTGTACTCACCTAGTTGTGTTTGCGGGGGTTGAGCTCTGGCTCTTTGGTCAAGCCTCTTGACCAAAGAGGGCTCTTTGTGTGTGTGTGTGTGTTGTGTGTACGTGTGGGTGGGGGGGTGGGGGGGGTGGGTGAAACCATGCAATTTTAAGTCTGGTTTTGTTTTGATAATTAAATGTTGCGGTGTTTCTCATGTTCTTCCCTTTCTTCATTACAGGACCACCATGACCACCTGCACCATCCTCCTAGTTCTGCTCCTGGCCGCTGTGGGTGAGTGGCGCGAGAGAGAGAGAGAGAGAGAGAGCGAGAGAGAGACAGCGAGAGAGAGAGAGAGAGAGAGAGAGAGAGAGAGAGACAGCGAGAGAGAGAGAGAGAGAGAGAGAGAGAGAGAGAGAGAGAGAGAGAGAGAGAGAGAGAGAGAGAGAGAGAGAGAGAGAGAGAGAGAGAGAAGAGAGAAGAGAGAAGAGAGCGAGAAGAGAGAGAGAAGAGAGAAGAGAGCGAGAGAGCGAGAGAGAAAGGGAGAGAGAGACTAGTTCAAAACATAGCTTCTGTACACAGTAATTAGTTTACTTAGCACAACATAATGAACATATTCTTTTGAAAAACAAACAAAACAAAATCATTCAACCCAACAACCTTTTACGTACTATAATTCTCAATGACTTATCGATCACATTAAACCCTCACGCCTATAAATCACCTAAAATAATCCCTATTTAATAATCCCTTATTTAAATAATCTCCAATATAAAAACCCTAAACGTGACTAATACCATTCACGGTGACCAATATATTGAATTAACCCTTCCATTAAAAATACATTAAACCATTATTTGATTACAGGTCCCCTGAGTGCCGCAGAGACCAAGTGTGAAGGGAAGGACTTTAACTGTGGGGACAAGTGCATTCCTCCACAGTTTGTGTGTGATGGCTTCTTTGACTGTGGCAACGGGAGGGATGAGGTGAGTAGAGGGTAGGAGGAGAAGGTAGGGAAGATAAAGAGAGATAGGGCAGATAAAAAAGAGAGAGAGAAGATAAGGGAGTGAATGGGAAGAGGGGAAACAGATAGATTAAATTTTTTATTTATTAGGGACTTGAGTTACAATAATCTATTTGCATATAATGAAGTGGTTAAGTAATTTATGACAATGTTCAATACTTGAACATTATAGAGGAAGCAACAGTCATTGTTTCAATAATATCCGCAACACTGATACTCAGCAGCAAACATGAAAATCATGTCAGATACCTTTAAAAGATATCTACCGTGTTATAGCGGGATATAGCCGCTTCTGTTTATATAGCTTATATAGCGATATAGCTTTGTTTTAAAACATTGCACAAGCACATTGTACCCATAAGAGTGGTGACATATGTTGACGAGAAGTGGGAAAATAATCAAATGCACGCAATTTTAAATTATAGACAAATATACTAAATATTACGTAATTTTTCTATATTTATGTACACCTTCTGGACTTTACATCAACAGATTCACGGGCTAATCTGGCGCAAGCTCAGCTTGAATATACAACTCCTGGGACATGATTTTGACAGGATTTAAATTGCTTGTCAGCAAGCCGTCTTTACGGCAGTAATTTACTTCACATGTTAAGTTGGTAGGGGGAGTGCGTGCGAGGGAGTGTAGTACTTGTTGCACTCTATCATCATATTCATTACTTATTAAGTTGCATTTTCATACACTCGAGTTTAGTACATTTGTGTACTAAAGTACATTTGTGTACTAAAGCCACTGTATTAGACAACCGGCGGCTGGAAAGGCAGGGTCCAAGAGCTGAAGTTCAAACCTCCAGCCGTAATCACGTGTTTGAGTAACACGTGATTACGGAAAGAGCTTACAGTGTTGGCTGGATAGGTGGTTTCCTTCGGACAAAAAGCCTGTCACTGCTAGGTGGAGAGTTAGTTCCTTCAAGTGTGTGGAGAGTTCGTTCCTTCAAGTGTGTGGAGAGTTAGTTCCTTCAAGTGTGTGGAGAGTTAGTTCCTTCAAGTGTGTGGAGAGTTAGTTCCTTCAAGTGTGTGGAGAGTTCGTTCCTTCAAGTGTGTGGAGAGTTAGTTCCTTCAAGTGTGTGGAGAGTTAGTTCCTTCAAGTGTGTGGAGAGTTAGTTCCTTCAAGTGTGTGGAGAGTTAGTTCCTTCAAGTGTGTGGAGAGTTAGTTCCTTCAAGTGTGTGGAGAGTTAGTTCCTTCAAGTGTGTGGAGAGTTAGTTCCTTCAAGTGTGTGGAGAGTTAGTTCCTTCAAGTGTGTGGAGAGTTAGTTCCTTCAAGTGTGTGGAGAGTTAGTTCCTTCAAGTGTGTGGAGAGTTAGTTCCTTCAAGTGTCTGGAGAGTTCCTTCAAATGTGTGGAATCTTTCTTCAAGAGAGGTCAGGCAGGAGATTGTAGTGTGAGCGAGGATCACCTTCCGAGGTCCATACAGTATTCCATACATTATTCCACACGTATGGAATACAGTATGGACCCCCGTATTCCATATGCATGGTTGTTTGCCAGAATTATACAGAGACATTGACCTAAATAATATAATTTGTAATAATGTGATACATTATTTAAGATTTGTTTTAGCAAAGTGTTCGCAAACGTAATAATATCAACAACAACGTTTATCGATGATAACAAAACCCAGATGTGAATCACACTAATTCACAACTACGAAATATTTCTCAACCATTGCTGAAGAGCTGTACCATTATCAACACACACTATCCAACAATAGTCAAATGAATTCTAAAAGTAACATGGCATTACTGATAACTATAGCATGTGATAACCTAACCGGTTTGACTTTCTCAACAGGTGAACTGCAAGGAGAAATCCCCTGCCAAGCCTCCCCCACCTGGTGACCTCCCACCTGGTGCCGACGCCCCCACATTTCCCCTGGAGTTCGGTCGCTAGACACCCAGATGCCGTGGGAGAGCTGTGGGAGGGCCGTTGGAGGGCTGTGGGAGGGCTATTGGAGGCCCGTGGGAGGGGGTGGAGATCAGTGGGGGATAACAGACTACCTTAAAACAGTAGGGACTGAAGGCTAAATATATCTGTTGAGGCGAATTCTGTTTGAAGAACTTCCATGGCAGCCGCCACCGCGGCCAGCGTGTGTAGTACATCTATCCAGTTCATACATACATTTGCAATTTAACATACGAGTGAAAATCAAAACTTCCTGTGGCTACCTCAAAGGGAATGTGGTAGGTTCAGGGATGTCGATGGTCTGATGACCTGTGCAATATTGAGGTCTCCAGTCGCTGTTGCAGGCTGGAGAAGTTGATGATAACATACCGATTTACATGTCATGAATGATTCTTCGTTTGTAAGGAGACAACTCTCTCAGTGCTATAAATCGTTAGTTAGAATTAACTAGGAGAATCTAGAAGATAATATAGAGGATAGAAATAAATTAACTCTTAGATAACGACTTGTGTCACAGGCGTATCCAAGTGGATGCTGTATCTTGAAGTAACGTTGAATCAGCGTTAATAACGACGATTCAATGTTGAATTAACTTTGATATTGTGGCCGCTGGCATGTTGATTTAGTCGGGGTAAATCCGAATTTGTTTGTACTACGTTTTTCTCTGTAGAAATATAAGTTAATAGGGTTTTGCGTAAAAATCCCCATTAACAAGATTCTGACATCACTGGCTACGGTTTCCTAATATAACTATATAATATACTTGTTTTTTATACATAAACTGATTATAAAATATTTGGACCATTTGGCACCTTCTCGCCCAAAAATATTTATAAAAAATATTAAGTTTCTGATAATATTTTGTATTTTTATACATCCCCCCATATTGTTTTCTTCAACTAAATCCTACAACAGAATATCATGTAAAATTTAGGTGCAACTTTTTCTATAAATTTCAGGAATATAAATTTCAGAATTTAACTGAAATGTTGTATCGAAAGAAACACTAAACAATCAGGTTATGGAGAATGCAACTAATATTTTCTATAAGTACACAAGACGAAATAGGTCGAAAGCCACTGCATTAGACAACCTGCGACTGGAAAGGCAGGGTCCAAGAGCTGAAGTTCAAACCTCCAGCCGCAAACAGGTGACTTAAAAAGCACACTGATACTCCATACATAATCAGGTCAGAGCGTGTCCTCACATTGTTATTTAAGATTCAGCTCCTCGAAGCCAAACGTTGCAAGTAGCCCGGGCTATGGTGAGCCCGTAGTGGACTTACCTGGCACAGGTAGCGGGGCTGTGACTGATGTAGCCTCACATTAAATATTCTGACGGGACACTCACTACCGTATCCAGCTCTCCTGGTCTGTCTGTTGGACCCGTCACAGTTCATCACATAAGTGTGATAAACCGTATTGTGTGAGAGTCCATGGGAAGTGTTTGAAGTGTGATACGCACACTCACATACACACACACACACACACACACACACACACACACACACACACACACACACACACACACACACACACACACACACACACACGCACACACACACACACACACACACACACACACACACACACACACACACACACATAACGAATCATAACGAATGCCGTGTTTCCCCAGGAGTACACAATAATAAGGAAAGAGAGGGAAGGTAGGGGAGGAGGAGGAGTGGCCCTACTCATGAGAAAGGAATGGAGTTTTAAGGAGATGGCTATCCCGGGCTGTGAGGGTTTCAGAGACTACATAGCAGGCACCATGACAATGGGAGGACCAAGGATAGTAGTAGCAGTAATATATAATCCTCCACCAAATGACAGAAGACCCAGTCAAGAGTACGAAAGCAACAACATGGCAGTTAACACTATAATTGAGAGGGCAGCCTCTTCTGCCTGTAGAAATAGATCCCACCTGCTCATCATGGGGGAATTCAATCACGGCAGGATTGATTGGGAGAACAAGGAACCGCATGGAGGCGAGGATACGTGGAGAGCCAAACTACTGGAGGTGGCGACTAGAAACTTCTTAACCCAGCATGTCAGTGAACCCACAAGGATGAGAGGAAACGACGAACCAGCGAGACTCGACCTGGTTTTCACCCTGAACGACTCTGACATAAGAGAAATCAGTTTTGAGGACCCAGTAGGAATGAGAGACCACAGTGTATTGGTGTTTGAGTACCTGATTGAAGAAGGGTTATTGAACTCGAGAAGGGATACCGAAACCAAAAGGTTAGCATACCGAAAGGGAAACTATGAGGAGATAAGAAAATGCCTAGCAGATATAGCATGGGAAACAGAGCTCAGGGAAAAGACGGCCCAAGATATGATGGAATACATCACGCAAAAATGCAAGGATGCAGCAAACAAGTTTGTCCCAGTCCAAAAGGAAAACAGTGAAATGAAGATGAGAAACCCATGGTTTAATCAGAGATGTAGGCTAGCTAAGCAGCAAAGTAAAAGGGCATGGAGAAACTATAGGAATAACAGGACACTGGAGAGCAGAGAAAGATACCAGAATGCCAGGAATGAATATGTTAGGATGAGAAGAGAGGCAGAAAGACAATACGAAAATGACATCGCAAGCAAGGCAAAGACTCAGCCTAAATTGCTGCATAGCCACATCAGGAGAAAAACAACAGCAAAGGAACAGGTTATGAAATTAAGGATAGGGGCAGAAGGATTCACTACAAACGACAAGGAAGTGTGTGAGGAACTGAATAAGAAATTCCAGGAGGTCTTCACCTTAGAGCAAGGAGAAATCCCAGAGATAAGAGAGGGAATAGCTAACCAGGAACCACTGGAAGAGTTTGAGATTACCAGCGGGGAAGTAAGGAAGTGTTTACTAGAATTGGATGTGACAAAGGCTATAGGACCAGATGGAATCTCCCCTTGGATACTAAAGGAAGGAGCAGAAGAACTATGCCTCCCGCTCTCCATGGTGTATAACAAATCACTGGCAACAGGGGAACTGCCAGAAATTTGGAAAGCAGCTAACGTAGTCCCGATATACAAGAAAGGGGATAGACAGGAGGCACTGAATTACAGACCAGTGTCCCTAACCTGCATACCATGCAAGTTGATGGAGAAGATTGTGCGAAGAAAGCTAGTGGAACATCTGGAGCGAAAGAACTTTGTAACACAGCATCAACATGGGTTCAGGGATGGCAGGTCCTGCCTCACAGGGTTACTTGAATTCTACGACCAGGCAACAAAAATAAGGCAAGAAAGAGAAGGGTGGGCAGACTGCATATTTTTGGATTGTCAGAAAGCCTTTGACACAGTGCCACACAAGAGGCTAGTGAAAAAACTGGAGATGCAGGATGGAGTGAAAGGGAAGGTACTCCGTTGGATACAGGAGTACCTAAGTAACAGGAGACAACGAGTCAGTGTGAGGGGTGAGGTCTCAGATTGGCGAGACGTTACGAGTGGAGTACCGCAGGGGTCAGTCCTTGGACCTATACTGTTTCTGATATATGTAAATGATCTTCCAGAGGGTATAGAATCGTTTCTCTCAATGTTTGCCGATGATGCAAAAATTATGAGGAGGATTGAAACTGAGGACGATAGTAGGAGGCTACAAGATGACCTAGACAGACTGAGTGAATGGTCCAACAAATGGCTGTTGAAGTTCAACCCGAGTAAATGCAAAGTAATGAAACTAGGTGGTGGAAATAGGAGGTCAAACACAGGATACAGAATAGGAGATGAAGTACTTAATGAAACGAACAGAGAGAAAGATCTAGGAGTTGATATCACACCAAACCTGCCTCCTGAAGCCCACATAAAAAGAATAACGTCTGCGGCATATGCGAGGCTGGCTAACATCAGAACAGCGTTCAGGAACCTGTGTAAGGAATCATTCAGAATCTTGTACACCACATATGTAAGACCAATCCTGAAGTATGCGGCCCCAGCATGGAGCCCGTACCTTGTCAAGCACAAGACGAAGCTGGAAAAAGTCCAAAGGTATGCCACTAGACTAGTCCCAGAACTAAGAGGCATGAGTTACGAGGAAAGGCTGCGGGAAATGCACCTTACGACACTGGAAGACAGAAGAGTAAGGGGAGACATGATCACAACCTACAAAATCCTCAGAGGAATCGACCGGGTAAACAAGGATAAACTATTCAACACTGGTGGGACGCGAACAAGGGACACAGGTGGAAACTGAGTACTCACATGAGCCACAGGGACGTTAGAAGGAACTTTTTCAGTGTCAGAGTAGTTAACGGATGGAATGCATTAGGCAGTGATGTGGTGGAGGCTGACTCCATACACAGTTTTAAATGTAGATATGATAGAGCCCAGTAGGCTCAGGAATCTGTACACCAGTTGATTGACAGTTGAGAGGCGGGACCAAAGAGCCAGAGCTCAACCCCCGCAAGCACAAATAGGTGAGTACAAATAGGTGAGTAAACACACACACACACACACACACACACACACACACACACACACACACACACACACACACACACACACACACACACACACACACACACACACACACACACACACACACACACACACACACACACACACACACACACACACACACACACACACACACACACACACACACACACACACACACACACACCTCACCCTGGGGCTCTCCAGCACGGGATCTTTTTCAAGTCGAAATTATTCCTGTAACTTTGAACACAACAGTTCATGGAAGTTATTGAAACCGATTACAATTGTGAGGGATAAATATAAACAATATTTTATTGTAAATTCTCGACTCTTGAGTTCCCTTGATTCAAAGGGAATCTGTGAAATACAACCTTGGATAAAAGTCTTACAATTTTTCAGACTTTAAATTTTCTCCTTCTTGCAAACTCGATAGAAATTGTATTTTCTAAGTCTTCATCCAGCAACATGAGAGAGAAGAGGAAATGTAATATAGTTTCTCCTGTGCAAAACAGGATCATAAAAGACATTATGTTGCTTACCAGGAGTGCATGGAGGGTCCTGTACTAGTTTACAGGAGTACATGGAGGGGTTTGTACTAGTTTACAGGAGTACATGGAGGGTCCTGTACTAGTTTACAGGAGTACATGGAGGGGTTTGTACTAGTTTACAGGAGTACATGGAGGGTCCTGTACTAGTTTACCAGGAGTACATGGAGGGTCCTGTACTAGTTTACCAGGAGTGCATGGAGGGTCCTGTACTAGTTTACAGGAGTACATGGAGGGTCCTGTACTAGTTTACCAAGAGTGCATGGAGGGTCCTGTACTAGTTTACCAAGAGTGCATGGAGGGTCCTGTACTAGTTTACCAGGAGTACATGGAGGGTCCTGTACTAGTTTACCAGGAGTACATGGAGGGTCCTGTACTAGTTTACCAGGAGTACATGGAGGGTCCTGTACTAGTTTACCAGGAGTACATGGAGGGTCCTGTACTAGTTTACAAGAGTGCATGGAGGGTCCTGTACTAGTTTACCAGGAGTGCATGGAGGGTCCTGTACTAGTTTACCAGGAGTGCATGGAGGGTCCTGTACTAGTTTACAGGAGTGCATGGAGGGTCCTGTACTAGTTTACCAAGAGTGCATGGAGGGTCCTGTACTAGTTTACCAGGAGTGCATGGAAGGTCCTGTACTAGTTTACAGGAGTACATGGAGGGTCCTGTACTAGTTTACCAGGAGTACATGGAGGGTCCTGAACTAGTTTACTAGGAGTGCATGGAGGGTCCTGTACTAGTTTACCAGGAGTACATGGAGGGTCCTGTACTAGTTTACTAGGAGTGCATGGAGGGTCCTGTACTAGTTTACCAGGAGTGCATGGAGGGTCCCGTACTAGTTTACCAGGAGTGCATGGAGGGTCCTGTACTAGTTTACCAGG